AGCAGTCGAATGACAGCCCCAGGGTGGACCAGGAGTGTTCAGGAACGGGAATGACAGGGCCAAGAGTGGAATGACAGCCCCAGGGTGTCCCAGGAGTGTTCAGAAACTCGAATTACAGGGCCAAGAGTGGAATGACAGCCCCAGGGTGTGCCAGGAGTGTTCAGGAAACGGAATGACAGGGCCAAGAGTGGAATGACAGCCCCAGGGTGTCCCAGGAGTGTTCAGGAACTGGAATGATAGGGCCAAGAGTGGAATGACAGCCCCAGGGTGTCCCAGGAGTGTTCAGGAACTGGGATGACAGGGCCAAGAGTGGAATGACAGCCCCAGGGTGTCCCAGGAGTGTTCAGGAACTGGAATGACAGGGCCAAGAGTGGAATGACAGCCCCAGGGTGTCCCGGGAGTGTTCAGAAACTGTAATGACAGGGCCAACAGTGGAATGACAGCCCCAGGGTGTTCCTGGGACACCCTGGGGCTGTCATTCCACTCTTGGCCCTGTCATTCCTCAGCCTAAGCTACCTACCTTCAGCCAACCTATAGAGGATCCTGTTCTCACTCCATACCTTCCAGGACCCAGAACTGATATCTCTTTATGCACAGGTAGCCCTCCCTTAGTTGGGAGGGGGAATCACCCCAGATGCCTAAATAGAGCCATTTCCTAACACAAAAGGCCACTGAGAGATATCTACAATAGTTAAGAAAGTTTCCATTGTTTTTTTAAAGCCTCTGGGTTTCCCCAGACATGCTACTTTAGGCCGAGCGCAAAGCACAAACCCATTCATAATAACTAGAGCCCAGCCACACAAGAAACATTTTGATTTTGTTTCTAAAATGCCTTAAATAGACTATATCCTGGTAATAGGCTTACACCCCTCCAACTCCTTGTCATCCAGTAAAATGTATCCCACTCCCCTTCCAAATCTTAGCCACATATTCTGGGATGAAAAAAATCTACTGGTTCAGGGTTAAAGCGTTTACTTATCACTGCTAAGAATATTGTGCTGCCAGTTTGGTGTAGTGGTTAAGTGTGCGGACTCTAATCTGGGAGAACCGGGTTTGAGTCCCCACTCCTCCACTTGCACCTGCTGATGTGACCTTGGGTCAGTCACAAGCTCTGGCACAGCTGTACTTGAAAAAGAGCAGTTTGTGTCAGAGTTCTCTCAGCCCCACCCACCTCACAGGGTGTCTGTTATGGGGAGGGGAAGGGAAAGGAGTTTGTAAGCCGCTCTGAGACTCCAAGTGAAGGGCGGGGTATAAATCCAATCTCTTCTTCTTCTTCAACTACCTGGAGTTAAATTATGAGAAGTCCAAAGTACCAGTCTTTTCCAGCTCCTGGAAGGTTTATGACTGAAAAATCAATGGTCATTCCTTGGAACACGTCAAGATCTTTAAATATCTTGGTGTTCATTTTCAATACAACGCCTCTTGGGTCTGTCACTGAACTCAGAGGTGCGAAGAGCACACTTTGCCCTTAGGAACTCAGGGGTGCATGGTGGAGCTAGCAGGAGGCCACGAAAGGGGGAACCCGGCGCCGCGAGGGGGGCGTGGTGCGCGAGGCCGTGGCTCTTTAAAGAGCGCCTCTTCTGCCCTTCTGGAGGCAAAACCACTCCTCGCGCCTCGTCTCCCAGCGTGAAGGCGTGAAGGGTCCTGCTTGGCTCCCCCAGAGAGAAGCGACAAGGACGCTGGAAAGCCTCAGGGCAAACGGGAGCCGGGAGGAGGTGGGGAAGTTTTCGCAGGTGAACACAGCACCCATAGACAGTTTTAGGCGCCTGCCTCGAGTGCCCCCTGGTGGGGGGCGCGAGACTGGCCTGCCATCCCACCCCTCTCACCCAGGTCTCTCCAAAAGCCCAGCTGGCTCTCGCCGGCTCTGCACTTCAGAGCTGCACAATCGCAGCACTTGGGCACCACTACACAGCAGCTCATCTCTCCACCTGCCATCCGCTCGCCCTGCCTCCATCTTCTCTCTCAGCAATCGGGGAATCAGGAAAGGAAAGCTTCTCTCTCGCGCACACATGAAACCCCCCCCCCCGCGGAGCTCCCTTTAAAAAGCAGCCCTGATGGAGGCGGAGTAGCCGCACCCCCGCGATCCTGCTCGCTCCTCGCCTCCAGACCCCCTCCCACGGCACCACCGCCTGTGGCTTCTTCGCCCGGCCGAGAGGCTGCTCTGCTGCGCCCCTTCCCTGCTGCGGGGTAGAGCTTGGCTTGGCTTGACTTTCGCGCCCCAACTTGGTTGCACGCCCCCTGCTGAGACACGAATCATCTGGCTTGTTTTCTCCAGTGATCTCGGGTAGCCAAGACCGGCCGAGAGGCTGCTCTGCTGCGCCCCTTCCCTGCTGCGGGGTAGAGCTTGGCTTGGCTTGACTTTCGCGCCCCAACTTGGTTGCACGCCCCCTGCTGAGACACGAATCATCTGGCTTGTTTTCTCCAGTGATCTCGGGTAGCCAAGTTCGCTTTTATTTGGTTCTTCCAAAGAGCCTCTGGCTGCCCTGCATGTTGCAACCCGATTCTGCGACTGGGAAGCCGAAGCGGTTCTTACTGAGTGGCAGCAGCACCTTGAAATAGACCCTCCCTG